AAATTAAATAAATAAATAAATAAATAATAAACATGAAATGTCAAACAAGACTGTAAAGTTTCTCCCCTACAACTACAACAAGAACCCCTTTACTAAATTCTCTAAATTTTCCCCATTAACTACATACTCGTAGATACTCAAGTAAAACAATATCTATTATTTGACCACTATGAACCCATGGAAATTCTATAAAGTCCCTGGAATGCAATTCCACAGAAATCTAAGCAGTTCATGGAATAAGGGTTACTCATATAAAATGATTAACACTAAAAACTGCTATATGTCAAAACAGTCCCATGACACTCAAGTAAACAATGAGTCAGGATAAGGCTTTTCCTGTCAGTTTTCAGTATCTGAATCACAAAACATGATAAAACAGCTGAATTCAGTCAGAATGTAACTTTTTTCTTTCTACCAGATTTTGCTTCCAAATTACTTACCTCAATGGAACTGGCTATATTTAAACATTCCTCCATTCCAGGAATATCCAACTGAATAATTCGAAAATCTTTACATTTTATGATGATAGTACCCAGAGATCCCACAAATCTGTAAGAAATTACAAATCATACTTAGGAATACATACATTCCTAATTTTAAATATATGATTATTTCTTTGGAAAAAAATGCAATTGCAATCAACAACTTTATCTAACTTCCCTCCCCACTTAGTCTAATTAAGAATCAAGTTTGCATCACTAAAATGTTAGCCATAAAGTATTTAAAACACATGTACCTAAAATTTTYTCAAATTTGTAAAATAATTCACATTAGGTTAAGTCATTTAATGAAGATTACTTGGAATCTTACTCCAAAGCACAGGAAAAAAGATCTGTAATTAACATGTTAAGCATCTGTAGAGAAATGTTCTGCAGCATAGGAAAATTGTTATTTCAGATTGTATCTACTTCTAAGATTAGAGAAGCTCATTAAATATCTCTTTTCAATATTTAAAACTATGCACTTGTAAGAGAGAAGACCCAAATAAGCAAAATTAGAGATGAAAAAGAAGATATCACTACAGACACTTCTGTAATCCAGAGCATCATTAAGAACTATTTTGAGGACAGGGGTTGTATGTAGCCCAGTGGCAGAGCCTAGCATGTTGTGAGGCACTAGTCGATCCTTAGCACCACATAAAAATAAACAAATAAATAAAAGCATTCTGTCCATCTACAACTACAAAAACATTTTTTAAAAATGTTTTGGGGGGGGCTGGGGATGTGGCTCAAGCGGTAGCGCGCTCGCCTCATATGCGTGCGACCCGGGTTCGATCCTCAGCACCACATACCAACAAAGATGTTGTGTCCGCCGAGAACTAAAAAATAAATATTAAAAATTCTTTAAAAAAAAAATGTTTTGGGGGGCTGGGATTGTGGCTCAGCGGTAGAGTGCACACCTAGCACAAGCAAGGCCCTGGGTTCAATCCTCAGCACCACATAAAAATAAATAAAATAAATAAAATAAAGGTATTGCGTCCAACTACAACTAAAATATAAATATTTTTAAAAAGAACAATTTTGAAAATCTATACTCCAATAAACTGGAAAATCTAGAAGATACTGACTAACAATTAGATATATATGACCTGCACATATATTGAATCAGGGAAATATAGAAAACCTAAACAGGCCAATATCAAGTAATGAAATTGAAACAGCAATTAAAAGTCTTCCAACAAAGAAAAGTCTAGAAACATGGATTCTCAGCTGAGTTCTACCAGGTCTTTAAAGAAGAACACCACACTTTCTCAAATTACTCCATGAAATTGAAAGGGAGAGAACACTTCCAAATATATTCTATGAAGCCAATATAACTCTGATGCCAAAACCAGTAAAAGACACATCAAGGAAAGAAAACCCAGATGAATCTATATTCCTGATGAACTCAGATACAGAAATCCTTAGCAAATTATTAGCCGACAGTATTCAGAAACACATCAAGAAGATAATACACCATGAACAAGTGGGTTTCATCCCAGGGATGCAAGGTTGGTTCAACACACACAGATCAATAAATGTAATTCACCACCTAAATAGAATTGAGGACAATAATCATATGATCACCTCAACAGATACAGAAAAGGCCTTTGCTAAAATCCAGCACTCATTCATGTTAAAAATGCTAGACACACTAGGGTGAAACAGAACTTACTTCAACATTATAAAAGCTATGTATGACAAATCCAAAGTCAAAATCATACTGAATGGAGAAAAACTGAAAGAACTGCCTTCAAAATCAGGACCAAGACAACTACTATTCAACATAATTCTCAAAACTCTAACCAGAGCAATCAGACAAGAGAAAGAGATTAAAAGGTTACAAATGACATGATCCTTTATGGAAAAGACTCAAAAAAAACTCCACTATAAGACATCTAGAGCTGATAAATGAATTCAGCAAAGTAGCAGGATATAAGATCAACACTCATAAATCAACAGGCTTCCTATACTCCAACAACAATTATACAAAGAAAGAAATCAGGAAAACACTCCCTTTAAACCTCAAAAAAAAAAAAAAAAAACAAAATAAAATACTTAGGAATTAATCTAATCAAGGAGGTAAAAGATCTCTACAATGAAAATAATAGACACTAAAGAAAGACATTTAAGAAGAACTTAGAAGATAAAAAGAACTCCCATGCTCTTGGATAGGCAGAATTAATATTGTCAAAATGGCCCATACTACCAAAAGCAATATATGGATTCAATGCAATCCTCATGAAACACCTCTGACATTCTTCACAGAACTAGAAAAAAAAAAAAAGTCCTTAAATTCATTTAAAAGAATAAGAGACTCAAGAATAGCCAAAGCAATTCTAAGAGATAAGAGTAAGGCAGGAGACATGAAGACACCTGATCTCAAGTTATACTACAGAGCTATGGTAACAAAAACAACCTGGTATTAGCACCCAAATAGACATGAAAACCAATGGAATGGAAGACAGAGACAAACCCACATACATGGCAGCCATCTGACACTTAACAAAGAAACCAAAAATACACACTGAAGAGCCTTTTTAACAAATGGTTTGGGAAAACTGGATAGTTATATGTGGAAAAATGAAATTAGACCCCATCTCTCACCAGCACAAAACTCAAATCAAAAGATCAAAAACTGAGGAATTAGATCAAGAAATTTGCAACTGCTAGAAGAAAACACAGAGTCAACACTTCATCATATAGATGCAGGTACCAGCTTCCTCAACAAGACCCCTAAAGCCCAAGATATAAAACCGTAAATCAATAAGTAGGATGTCATCATATTAAAAAGCTGTATTTGTATTATTTATAGAAATAAATTCTAAAAAGTAAAAAATAAAGATGCAATTCCTCAAAAGACACAAACTACCAAGGAACATTCAAGAAGAAATAGTCTGACTAGTTCTGAATCTATTAAAGAAATTGAAATTTCCTTAAAATCCTCCCCACAAAGAAAACTCCAGCCCCAGATGGCTTCACTGATGAATTCAACAAGACGTTTAATGGGAAAACACTTCCAATTCAAGACAAACTCTTCCAGCAAATTGAAGAGAAGGGAATTACTTCTTAAGTTATTCCACAAGACCAGTATTATCCTAATACAAAAAACAGACAGACATTACAAGAAAAGAAAGCTACAAACCAATATCCATCATGAACATAAATGCAAAATTTCTAACCAAAACACTGGTAATCAAATCCTACAACATACAAAGAGGACAAAAAATCACGACTAATTGGGGTTTTTCCCAGGAATGCAATGTTAGTTGAACATTTGAAATCAAGTTATCCATCACATGGACAAACTAAAAAGAGAAAAACCTCATATCTTCTATCTCAACAGATACAGAGAAAGGCGTGACAAAATCTCACATCTGTTCTTGCTTAAAATCAAAACAAACAACAACAACAAAATCTTTCAACAAAATAGAAACAGAAGGTAAAAACAACTTTCTCAGCTTGTTAAGAGCAATTACATTAAAAAAAAAATCTAAGCCTAATAGCCCACTTAATGGTGAAACAATGATTTCTTTCTGCAGTAAGATCAGGAATAACACTGAAAGATTCACTCCAACTTCATCTATCCAACATTGTACTGAAAATTATAGCCRGTGCAGGAAGGCCAGAAGAACAAATAAAAGATACCCATGTTAAAAAAGAAGACAATTGTATTCACAGATGATATGACTGTGTATTTAGAAAATCAAATGGGGGCTGAGATTGTGGCTCAGAGGTAGAGTGTTTGGCTACYACGTATGAGGCACTGGGTTCTATTCTCAGCACCACATATAAATAAATAAAGTCCATTGACAACTAAAAATATATATATTTTTTAAAACAAATCCACATTTCTTGCAAAACATTAGTATTAAAAAAGAAAAGAAAATCCAATGGATTGAAGGTRGAGCTTAGTAAGGTAGAGCACTTGTGTAGCATGCACAAGTTTAATTCCCATCACCATAAAATGAATTTCACAGAAATCCTCTCATTGAAAAACATGTTCAATGAAAGTACAAAAAAATGGTTCACTACTCACAGTTCCCAAGAGGAGGGGGAACAACATGCCACACCACATAAGGCCACACAGTGTGCTCTAGGTCAGTCAGAAAGAAGGAACAAGGAGAAAGCATGGGGCCAGGGTCTTCACAGTGGTTTCCACAGGAAGGAATGTGTAAGGCAGTGGACAAGCTTAGCAAATTTAGGATTGGACAGTATGACTAATTTTGGTGGGCTCTAGGATATAGGGATGGGCCTTCCTCATGTGGTATGTGGCCCTGTCATTATTGACGCCAGGGGGATAGTGGTCCTGACTCACAGGGGAATGAATATACCTGGATGTGGTTGGTTTGCCCATCAAAGGCATCGCGCAGGCAAGTTGTTTGCTATCTCTAGGAATAAGCTAATCCTAGGAGGGACAGTCAATTCCCACATTTACAAGGCCCTAAGATGTTGAAGTATCATGAAATATACAAAATAAGAAGCATGACTAATGCAAACGAACAAATGGAAATTGAAATTAAAATAACAGCACTAGGGTCTGGGGCTATGGCTCAGTAGTAGAGTGCTTGCCTGGCACACGTGAGGCACTGGTTCGATCCTCAGCACCACATAAAAAAATAAAAGTATTGTGTCCACCTACAACTAAAAAAATACACAAAAGTTAATCAATTTAAAAAAATAACAGCACTAGAAGTAATATTAAAATATAAAATATACATAAGAAAAGCTGACCAAAGAATTTAAAGACCTAAGTGAAAACCACAAACTTGGCTGAAAAAATATTAAAAGATTTTAAAAAGTAAATGGAAAAATATATTTTGTTCATAGGTTGCCAGACTCAAGATTTTAAGAAGTCAATTCTACCCAAATTAATCTACTGATTCAACATATTCTAATGCAAATCATTGCAGGCCTTTATGTAGAAATTTAAAAGCTGATTCTAAAAACTAAATGAAAATGCAAATAACATCACACAGCCAACCAACTTTGAATAAGAACAAATGTGTAAAACTTTGAGCTGGTTGGTTAATACTACATAGTTTTAAGACTTAATAGAAACCTACAGTA